TGCAGCCCCCTCAGGCATCCCCTGAGAGGCACTGATCCGTGCAAGGGAAGAGTCTCCTGCAAGGCCCCAGGCAAGAAGCAGAGCCCCTTTCAGCTTCTGGGCTGGCCCAGCTCACCAGCCTCAAGAACCGCCTGGGAAAAGTGCCCGAGGCTGCGGCTGAAGTGCTGAAGCCTCTTCCCTTCCCATCTCCCATGCCGGTGCCTTTGTGTTCTGCTTACAAGTTTCCCTGAGAGGAAATTTTCTGGAGTTATCCTCCTGCCTGAGCTCTTCATGCAGCTGTTCCCTCACCCTCCACCTCTTCCAACTGCAGCTCCATCTTCTCTGCTGCTGCTCAGCTCGTCCCCTTCCCTGCCTGGGAGGGAGCGATGCAGCTGCAGCACCGAGCATCCCATCCTGCCCTGGCATTCCAGAGGGGTGGGGGGCTCTGGGATCATCTCCCCATTATTCCCCAGCTGTCCTGCCACCAGTCAGGCAGAGGGAGATGCTGGCACCCCCTCGGCCCAGGCTGGCAGGACATCACACACAGCCCCATCCCTTCGGATCCTGCATCCCAGAGACCCTCCGGGGAGCGGGAAGCGGCTCCTCAGGCTCAATGGCTGCAGCCAGATTTACTCAGGCTGTTAAGTTGATTAATTGAAATGAAGTTCCTCCAGAGAATCGGCATGTTCTTTGAGGTCAGGGTCACAACACTGAGACGCTTAATCAGATCTTTCCATTTACCCCTCTCAGGATGGCTGGAATGCAGCCTCTTTCAAAGCCAGGCACTTGGCGCCAAATTTCTGCCCTGCTATCTTGCCTCTTCCATTACATTTAACCAGCACATCCATCATTATGAAATAAAACCCAAGTCCAGCTCAGGTGATCTTTCCGCAACCAAAGCTGGTTGGGGAAAAAAAAGAAAGAAGAAAACAACAAACCCTGAGATTGCTGCTCTTTCTAAAAGCCCTGCAGGATGGTGGGGAAAGGGGAACTGTCACTCCCCACTGGTCCTGTTGGAGGAAGGGGGCAGATGTTTCTGTGTGGATAACAAATTCCCTTATCTGCCTGAACCATTTCTCTGGGGAAGGTGGAGGAGGTTATTATAAGGTTACCCTGAGCTATTGTTAGAGAAAAGGGGGGTTGATTGCAATTCAAGAGCCCGTCATATTTGCCCAGGGATCAATCACTGCTGGATGGCTGCAGGACAGCCCTGACGCAACGTCCCACCTGCATGAAGAGCTCTGAAAGCTTCCCCATTGTGT